TTCTAATTCAATTTCATCTGGAGCCGCTCTGCCTCCGCGATCAGCAGCCAGTAATAACAATTACTGTGACCGACTCAACCTGCACCTTACTTCAATCAGAGCAAGTACAGCTTTATTACTCTGCCCTGTTAAATCAATCTACATCTCCGCATAATAAAGCCCTAATCAGGTAGCAGAAAGAATAATAGGTTGTCACGCATGAGGAAAAATAGGCAATCATGAAATGTTTTCTTTAATTAGGCTGTGAGGACTGGAAGGGCATCAAGAGGACCGGCTGATCATTTATCATCAGCGCGGGGGGAAATGACTTCACTTACTCGGAAAGAGAAGGAGAGATTTGTCAAACGATAAAGGTGAGGACAGGCTCCGAGTCCTTCAGTGAGGTGCGTTTGGAGACGAACATTAGCATGATGAAATATTCGGCCTGAACTGCAAAACTGGAATTGAAGTCCCTTTACTAACACTCATGTTCACACTGCAGTTAAATACGAGTGTTTATTGCCGATCTGAACCCACACTATGTAAGAGAAAAGTCAGTATCTTGATGGCAATTTACTAGCAATTACTATGCAGCAATACGTCTCCAACAGTGAATGTTGCTTTTGAAAAATTAGCTACCAACAAATGTTAAGCAGCTTTCGTGTTTCCTCTTACCAGCAATGCAACCCCTATTAGATTAGACCTGCCTCTCTGTGATCCATCGTGAGTACAGGAGCGACTCTTAAACGAAAGAAAGTATTAGCATCAGTTATTATTATCTATGGTTTACACATATTTACATGTATTAATTCATATTAATTAACATTTCTCAATAATACACATTTTTCTCAGTATAGATTAGGTCACTGTACATGAAAATATCAGACAAAGATTATATTTGGGAGTGTGTGGCATCTATATGCAAGCTCCTGGTTGAAAAGGCATTCATATTGAGGGAAAATCATAAGAAAATAATTGTTCATATTTTTATCGATGTCCATATTTAAAGGTTCGAGGTCACACTACACATATGATAATGTCCCAAACACAGTACTTGGAAAGTACAAGTTTCATCACTAAACCTTTAGCTGCACAGCACACACTGAACTCAGAAAATAATGTGCAAATGCTTTACAAGCTTGGTTCCAAATTTAGTCTCTTCCAGGTTCAGTGCACCAATTTTAACTCCTGTGTGTGTGTGTGTGTGTGTGTGTGTGTGTGTGTGTGTGTGTGTGTGTGTGTGTGTGTGTGTGTGTGGCATTCATGGACCAAAGAGTGGGTGCTTTGCAATGTGGGTAGTTCGTCTGTACACATCAGATATCTAAATCTGGCTGTGACTGACATGACATGTCAGTGTTTGTTTGTTACTCTCTTGTTGACCCGTTATGACAGCCGCATTCCAGCTAACTCAAAAATCTCATTAATCCCAGCTCTATAGAAAGCACAATTGTTACCTTAAAGAGCACTTCTACCTGATTTAACCCGTACAAATTAGTTTTGTTTGTTTAAATTGATGTATACCATGGTCTGTCTAAAAACGTGATTCTAATTGGCTAGTATGTGTGCATTAAAACTGTTTAATGCACTGGTAGTTTCTCTAGTGCTGCGTTCATTGACATGCAGAAATCGGAGATCATGCAGATCAGTGGATTAATCCCCAATGTATACTCTATATTGGTTAGGTGATGTTAATATTTTTGACTTGAATAAAACCACTTAATTCAGGTTTTACCATTTTTTCACTACGCAGGGAAATATTGACACAACAAAACTGAATGATGTCACATGTAAAATTTAGGATTAATCAATAATAATTAGATTATTTAAGAACAAAATAGTTAAGAGCAAAAGAAATCAATATAAGGTCCGGATCACGACACTAGACCAAATGTGATTTGATTTTGTCATTAATCACATTATCTTTTTCACCACTAATATATGAATATTTTACAGTGTAGAAGGACATTTATTTTATGTGACATTTATGTTAAGTTGTTTTGAAGACTAATCCTCAATCATACCAATAGTCATCAGGACATTAGATATAGTGTTTATTGAGCTGTTTTCTCTTTGGGGTGAATTCAGGTTTATCATCAATGTTCATGTGGCACGACCCGACACAAACACACACACAATCCTCACTGCGACGCTTGAGTGACCAACAAACTCACATCTCAGACCCAGCAGCAATAAATCATCCCAGCTTTCATCCACTAATATTAATGAATGGGCATTTATCATCTAATCAACAAAATGATGACCTGAGAAAGAGATCTCCGTCTCCGTCTGTCTCTCTCTCCGGCATGATGGATTATATCCTTAAACTGTTATTACACTTTTAATGCTCTCACTTACAATGACCCTCTGATCACTTTCCTCTTTGTCCTAAACATGCACATTCCAACTATAACTACTAGATATTTTCCATATATCTAAATAAATACATAAATAACAGGAACAGGAAGAAAACTCACCATTTCTTGTCAAACTGTTAATCAGTCAACGAAGCTTTATTGCCATTATTCCCAACTCAATACTGCAGTGTAAAACATGATTTTATTGTACTGTGTTTTACAAGGAAATACTATTACTTTAACATTTCACATTTAATTCAATGTGTTTTTGTGTGCATGCAAAGTACACCTATATAGTACAGAAATAGACCATATATAAAAAATAAATAATGTGAAGTAGGTATAGAACTTAAGGCAACATAAAAGTGTTCAAATGTCAAATATGAAAATAAATATATAAAAAATTAGATTAAGTATTTAATACGTACATGGGAATTATTCTCTTCTCATCACAAGGGATATTGTTTTGATGAATAACCTACATACTGTATAATATTAACACACAGTGTTATATAATATAATAGTTATAAAATGTCACATGCATTAGTGAAAATAAACAACTGATCTGATCTGGGAGTATATTAATGTAAATATATGCCAAACCCCTAATAAGAGGGGGAAAAGACAATAATGACCTCTGGGGGTGAACTGGAGGGACTGCAAATGTGAATGTGTTCCAGTTTACTCCAAATCCAGCATAACAGTCCATCAGATAGAGTGCAACAACATTAATCAGTCTATTATCACTTCAACTAAATCACCTGTGGATGGGCTTTATTCTGAACTTATTTTTAAAGGTGCCATAGAATGGAAAACTGTATTTACCTTGGCATAGTTGAATAATAACAGTTCTGTACATGGAAATGACATACCATGAGCCTCAAACACCATTGTTTCCTCCTTGTTATGTAAATCTCGTGCATGCAAAAGACCACTGAATAACAGGCGAATCAGAACATTACACCGACTGTGACGTTACAGTCGGGATCACTAATAGTTACGCCTCCAACATTTGCATATACCCGCCCATGTTCTATGCTAGCCGCCAGCTGAATCATCAGAAGTTCTGCAGGTATTGTGAAGAAACAAGCGAGGATAATAGCGAAAATGGCAGATCATGGAAATAAATGTTATGTTCCAGGCTGTGCAGGGGATGTGATGTGCAGGTAAAATGTGTGTCAAGTACTGCCGCTGTAGTTTACACAGAGCACGTGCGATCGCAAATCTCGAAAGTGTTTGTTTGTTTGTTTATTTTGACAAAATAAAGTAGTGAATACACTCTATTCGTCAAGGATAACACAATAAATTGTAAAACAAAACTTATTTCCATTGTGGTCCTTGATGTAAAGCACAAAACTTCACTCCGGTAACAGGTACACTGGCACTGCATTATAAATACAAAAATTACAATAAAATTCCACATTTACAAAAATTTACAGTCACAAATAACCACGTACGTAATACAAATTCATCAACAAAACAACCTACTTAAGAACCAACTTTTAGCTTTTAAACTAAAACTAACCATATTCGAAATACCTTTAATGTCCAGAGGTAACATTCCACAAAAGTGCCCCAGAATATCTAAAAGACCTATGACCATACATAGATTTAAAACAACATAATGTAATATCCATGAGACTTTGCCTAGTTTTATAACAATGTTGCTCATTTACCCTAGGAAAAAATACATTAAAATATGAAGGAGCTCTGTTATTGATAATCTTATGTACCATTTTTAATTTAATATGTTCTAATCTGCTTACTATAGGTAACCAATCAAGACACTTAAAGTGGGAAACCTCCACATGTGTACTGAAATCTGAGATGATTTAACTGCACAAGCTATTTAAGTAGAGTTCACAGTTGAGTTTAACGTTAAGAAACCCCTTTTTGTTTTCAGAGAGCCAGTCTCTTACCTTACAAAGCTCCTTACCTAATTGCACTTGTATCCTACCAACATCCTTATCTGAAATTAATAATTTTTTATTTCCTCAGAAAGAACCCCATCAATTTCTACTCTCTGAACTCTCCCAGTTAAATAAGAATTCAACCAGGCTATTACTTTACTTGAAAAACATTCTGACTGAAAATCATAAATTAAACTACTCTTACTTAAATACTCATAAATCTGTTTATACACAATTCTTTCTAAAATTCTTGAGGCCACATTAAGAATGGAGATTGGACGATAGTGAAAGTGAAAAAACGATCGTGTGTTCCAATATATTAATAGCGGCTCCCTGATGCCCGCCTATTACCCAACGATATAACTGCGAGAGAGAGTATTGAAATATATATTTTCCCTGTGTTTCCTTCCTGCTGTGTGAGCTAATGTAAATAAATAACTCAGCAATTATGAAATGTTTCTCTGTGTTTACAGTATATTTGATAGTACAGTATAAGTGTATTATGCAGCATGTAATGGCACATCATCGCCACCAGAGGCAGCAGAGCGCTGTGTTCAGTGTTGCTAATAGAGACATTTTGCTGCTAGATTTACCTGGAAACTCTTCACAAATGTTGCCAAATAATCAAGTCTGCTGAAATCTCTTCTTCATGAGCTGACAGAAACATACAAACAGACACACATGAACCAACAGACCGAATACAGGGCTGAATGTAAATGTGTGAATACAGGAGGAGCTCTGACATCACTGTAGTTCAGTCAGAGACTCAGAGAAAGTGAAACTAACTTGATCAACAACAATATGAACACCTGAAACCATCAAACTCTTTAAACAACAGAATATTGAGTCGTTCAAAGACCCTTGTGAACACATCTGATACTCACAGGTAAGTGCTAGAAATATAAGAGAGGTTGTCCTGAACAGGTTTCTAATGGCAGTGGTCTGGTTTAGTAGGGTTTATGTCAGACTGGACTGAGTTGAACAGAAGCAGGTTTAAGCGTCTCAAATACTCAGCTGCTTTAGTTGTTTACTGCCCTGAAATGATATCAGAATTGAGTTAAAAGAATGTCATTTGATTGAACAAAGTTTGGTGTTTCTGTCATTTTGTCACGCGACATAAAGACTAAAGAAACAGGAAGTAAATAACCTGCTGAAAAACTCAACACAAACGTGCTACTTTGTATATAAGTATTTTGCAATATATATTTTTAGTGATTAATTTTACTGTTGAATAGGTGCAATGCTACGAGTAATCCTAAACTTTATTTTGTTTTTAAGAATTACATGTTTAAAACAAAAAGTTAGATTTGTCTCTCTCAGGGGAATCACAACTTTCTCAAATATTTTTGTGCACAATTATTAAGCAGTTCGAATATAAAGGACTTTTCTTCATTTATCTCAGTGTGAAACAATTAGTAAACAAGAAAAAAAAATTGAAAACTAAATACAAAAATAATAATATCTTACTGTCCTCTCAAAGTGTTCAGTGTTCAGTGTAGCCTCCCTTCATTTCAATGGCTTTCATGAGCCGCCTATCCATACAATTAGTCAATGTCTTGATCTGTTCTCGATCAATTGTAGCTGATGCAGCCACCAGAGCCTCAGAGATGCTGTTCAAAGATGAGTACTGTTTTCCTTCACTGTAAATCTCACGCTTGAGAATGGCCCACAAGTTCTGAACCGGGTTCAAATCAGGTGAGGAAGGGAGCCCGACATTATTCTGTCATCTTTGAAGCCTTTTCTGGAAGGCAATCAGAGGAATACTTGGCTGCATGTGGTGGAGCTTTGTCCTGCATAAAGATCATGGTCTTTCTGAAAGCTGCTGACTTCTTCTTGTACCTCTGTTTGAAGAAAGTGTCTTCCAGAAATTGCCAGTAGTTTAGCCAGTAGCAGCTCACAGCATTACAGCAGCATCACGTTGCTGACGTCTGACTCGAGCTGGTGCTCTGTGTTCATCAGTGAGCCAACCACGGGCCAGCCGTCTGCTCCATCGAGAGTTACTCTCATTTCACCTGTCCACAAAACCTTTGAAACATCAGTCTTCATGTATTTCTTGGCCCAATCTAGACGCTTCAGCTTGTGATTCTGGGTCGTGTTTCAGTTTTCTTTACCTTAACAAATTCTCTGAGAAACATCTGGTTCTGGAGACTCAGGGAGGTTGCAGTTCTGGAAAAAGGTGGCACTGAAGTCTAAAGGGTTCCTGGTGGTTTCACACTTAATTCTACGCAGATCTTTTGCTGTTAATTTGCTCTTTTCCTTCTCAACACATTTTTTGCAAACCTGCTTACTATTATTGACAAACCGGTTGATTGTCATGCTTTATTAGTTTGGAAATTTCCAGAGTATGACATTTTTCTGAAAAGGCATTTTACAATTTTTGATGTTTTAGTATCAGTTAAGTCTCTTTTTTTTTTTGCACATTTTTAACCGTAGTAAAAATCTGCCTAATAAATATGTTTGAATTTAAAGTGTTTGACACTTTAAGCAACACCTTCCCTCATTAACAATTACACATCACCTGAAAATGATCATCCTCAGTAATTTTTCAGATTAATGTGGTTTGGAACCTGAAACATGTGCTAAAATATATGATTAGAATATCAAATTGCATAATAATTATGCATGCACTGTATACAGTATATATTTTATGAGTCACTGTGTTTCAAATTAATGATTGTGTTTCTCTCACTATCAATTCTTACATGAGATTTAACCAATTTAATATAAATATTGATTTAGTTATCATGATTATTTTGGATTTAAGTCTAAAAAAGAGATAAAAAATAATTAGTGTCAAATACAATATTTTTTTCTTGAAAAGGTTTGAAGGGATAAAGAACAATGGCAGAATCTTCACCAACATCAACAAAACCAAGAAAAACCAGGAGAGGGAGTATTGAACATTTACCTCCATGTAAGTCAATAACCCAGAAAAACACTGAGTGTATGAATGACTTTTACTCTTCTCAAATAATATTTAATATGTACAGCAGATAATTAAATAATTTAATCTTAACTCAATATTTCTTGTTAATGTATTTATTAGGTAAGTGGTCATGAAATGAGCTTCACATTAGGGTTCATTTTACAGTAATAACCAGCTGACTGTACATGATCTCTACATATTTGAGTTTCTTCACCACTCTTTGTCTCTAAACACTCTTTACATTCAACCAGCTTCAAGGTGAGTTTAAAATGAAATAATAAAATACATTTAAATATATATCATTTTGTTGCATTAGTATAGTTGGGTGGCTGTGTTCCATTCTGAAGGGTTCATCACTATGCCCTAATCCCTTTTAAGGGTTTACCCTCCAGAGTGAGAGCTTTGAAGGAATGAAGGCTGTAGTGGACCAAAACCAGTTCCTTATAAACACTTTTGTGTCATTTTACAACATCTGCATCACAAAATAAATATGCACAAAGAATCATGGAAGTGAAAAGTGTCCATCAATTGTACGCAGTATGGAGGCCATGATACTCTGAAGTGCTCTTCGGAGGCAGATTTATCCTGCTTGAAACTTAGCAGGTGCTTCTCATTTTTTATTTGTGCATCCTCGTTTCCTTTCCTCACTTCCTTCCCTTTCGTGCCGGGTTCACACTGCACCATTTTCAAAGTCGTGGGATCGCTGCTCTTCTCGCACCACACGACGGATTGATGACAGGAATCACACATTACACAACTTCTCAATAAGAAGAATCGCTGACAACTCCGTCAGGTCTACAAACTACGTTTCACAAGCAAGCACACGAGAATTGATAATAATAATAACAATAATAATAATAATAATAATGTAAGGTCACACGGGAGACAGGCATTATTGTGCGAGAATGTATTTATTCCCATCAAAAACGGTAGCCTGCAAAAAGCTTGCAGTCCAAGTTGTCTGTACAGTGATTTGCAGTGAAAAAAAAAAGATGAAAAAGAATAATATGCTGATGTTCTGTTGCAGATCTATGACTCTACCTCTTGAACTTTCCCTTGCCCTGTATCTGCTCTCTCATTGGCTGTAGCTCGTCACCGATGTTATTTCCACTCAAAACACATTTCACACTGCAGAACTGTGAGTCGCCAACAGGTCCAGATATTTAGCGTTCCAAATAGTTCACAGGCATCAGCAATGCATCAGTGCTTCTCTCAGATTGTGTCTTTGATAACACACACTGCCCAATTGTCACTGATGGTGATTTCCACAAAACCATTGGCATATCCTCGCATATAGCTCCTCTGGAAGCTTCCTCACTCCTCGTTCCATGCAGTACAATTAGAGAATTGAAATGTCCTTCAAGATGTCTGACTTTGATCAGTTTCTGGGTCATAGACTGAAGGATGGAGTGAGGAAATTAGTTTTGAGAAGCACCAAGTGTATTAGTGTTGGGGATTTTACAGCGACTCTTCCTGTGGGTTACATTGTTTCACCAGTAGGTGGCGACAAATCACTGTCTTTATGGCTGAGTCATTGATTTTGATTTGCTCAAAAACGATTCATTTAAAAACAGGAATGAATCACCACTATACAGTTTGTTGCAGCTTTGTTTGAAACTAGTATATTCGGGGGTCGGAGCAAATAGGGGAGAGCAGGGCACAAACTAACACTTTTTGACTTTCTCAGTTTGTGTAAATTTACATGGGCTTCAGAGTGTAATTTTTTATCCACATTAATTTCACACTTGTCTAGTACAAATATGTCACTTCGTTTCATAATTACAGTGTATAATTTTTTCTTTATTTACCTCCAAAAAATAGAAGTGAAATGTGACAACATGCCCCGTAGGTGGGGCACGTTGTAACACGATCATATGACAGCTTAAAATGTTATCTGATCTAATGAAAAAATATACAAGACAAACTAAACTATTTTGTCAATAAAATAAAATAATTATTTATTTCCTAAACTCATTCTGTCTGATGATGGAAAACAAGTGAGATGTGGAGACATTAGACAGAAACTCCCAGACAAACCAGAGAGATTTGATACATGTACCTGTGTCTTGGGAAAGGAGGGATTCTCGTCAGGGAGATTTTATTTTGAGGTGCAGGTGAAGGGAAAGACTGACTGGGATTTAGGAGTGGCCAGAGAATCCATTAACAGGAAGGGAGAGATCACACTGAGTCCCAGTAATGGATACTGGACTGTGTGGCTGAGGAATGGAGATGAATATAAGGCTCTCTCTGGTCCTTCTGTCTCTCTGTCTCTGAGAGTGAAACCGAAGCGGGTCGGTGTGTTTGTGGATTATGAGGAGGGTCTGGTCTCCTTTTATGATGTGGAGTCCAGCTCTCATATCTACTCTTTCACTGCTCAGTCTTTCACTGAAAAAAAACTCTATCCATTATTTAGCCCATGCAATAATGATGGAGGTAAAAACTCAAGCCCACTGATCATCACACCTGTCAATGATAATAAATGAAGTTACACAACTAATATGAAATACAATATTAAAATTATTTTTTTATAATAAAAAATCTGAAAACATAATGTGCTGGGTATTAACAAATTGGAAAGCCTGTTTTTAATGGTCAGACATGTTGACTTTTTGCTTAACTAATGTTTTTTTTTTTTTTTTTTTCAATTTTGAAAATCTATATGCTCTAATTACACATTTTAATGTAAATATATAATGTTTGTCCAATACATCTTTATTAAACTTTTCATAAACATTCATGCCATTTTTTTCTTCCATCTCCTCCTGACAAAGTAAAATTACCTTTCAATTTTAACAGAAAAACAAAACTAAGTAACCTTAGTAAACTCTGGTATGAAGACAGTTTACCAAATATTACCATCTGATATACCACAGTAATACCTTGATATATATCTATGACTTGTAATAGAAGTAATAAAATATGCTTTGTTTACAGCAGACTGGCAATTCCAGAGACCAATAGAAAAAGAAAGTAGTGTATTAGTAGACATAGGCAACGTGCGCAGGTTGTTAGGATTGCGCTGCCTACAGTGTGCAATGTGTGGTTTGCGAGTGGTAGTGATAGTAGGGATCTGAAAACACATAGTAAGAATTGGTTATTAAAAACTGAAAACAGAAGGGGAACAAGTGGTAGGAAAGAGAATGATTCAGAAGCGATACTTATGTGCCTTGCCGGTGTCCCTGATCGATGGAGTCGAACGGTAGAGTCAATGGTCTTTACACTCTTTGGTCTTCACACGAGGGCTGCCTCGTATATAATATATAATATAATATCATATATATATAATATATAATATCGTATGTAATATATATATATATATTATATAATATATATATATTTTTACATTTGTATCATTAGATACATTATATTATTTGAGTAACTATAACCCAAAATTTAAATGTGTAATACAGAAATTTCTCTAAAAAAGACACTGGTGTGCAATGAATTCTGGTTTGGGTGAAGCCACAAAGTGTGCATCTGTTGTACTCTTCATTCCCTGTGAAACAAAGGTGCATTTGAAGGAGCCTTCGAATTGGGACAGCCTTCATCTCTCCACCGTGGCACAATCTTCAAATACACCCTTCGGAAGATGCAGCCTTTGCTCTCCATCAGTCGTTTCAAATAAATATTTCTTATTATTATTATTTTATTAAAATGTTGTCTAATTGTGTATTATTTACTGTTAAACATTTTCAAACTAGATTTGCCTATACTTGCTTACACCACTTCTTAAACTTTTATCATGGACAAAAAATAATTTGTATTACATTCAAATAAAGACAAATTTAATTATTCTACTTACATTTGTATGTGAAGTCGAAATCAACCCCAACTTTGCTTCAAAATGCATCGCAAGAACTCGTAACCCAAAATCACATGATCACTAACAGAAATCAGTTTCTGATCTTTATGCTGGACCTATGATGTTTCGTTGGTTCTATGGCTTCATAGTGACCACTTTACTGATGGTCCGGACCAGAGGCTTCTTCGGTCGCTTCCTGAACGGGGCTCCGGCGCGGGAACCATGGTGGGTGAGTACAATCCATTTGTAAATATATATATGTGTGTATATTTAATGCGCTGGTGGTTGTGTGTATAATCCATCTGCTAGCTTTCTTTGCAGTGTTTTTCCGGGACCTGTGTGTTTCTGTCCTTTTTCTAGAGTAGGTTTTTCTTTTTCTCGGCTTTCTTTGCAGTGTTTTCCGGGACCTGTGTGTTTCTGTCTTTTTCTAGGGTAGGTCCTCGTTGAGCACCCCCTCTGTTGGATTCAGAAACAGAGTGCTCGACTTGCAGAGTTTACTTTACTCGTCGATATGATGTCCAGCCGGTATGATAGCCTGGTTTTGGCTTCATGCTTCCTGGATCATGCGGCCAGGTCACAGGCTTCTGCGGGAGCCTTCTCCTCTGCCTCTCTGCTGAGTTTTTTGGCTAGCTTGCAGTACGCTTATCCTTCTGATTTCTAACGATCGTGCTGTAGGTCGAGCCCCCTCTCTTTCAGAGCTGGGTGTTGTGCTCCCTCAGTTAAGGTAACTTACTGCTAGCCGTTCCAGCATTGGAACATGCTGTAGGTCGAGCCCCCTTCTCGATTGAGACCTGGGTCTGTTGCTCCCTCAGCTAAATAACTGCTAGCTGTTCCACCATTGGAACATGCTGTAGGTTGAGCTCCCTCTCGATTG